GTCCTCTTTTAACTGGAATTTATGGTTATGATAGAGGCAGCCTCATAGTGTAACTGCACAGTAATGAAGATATTAAAACTCTGATTCAAAAACATGTTGAAAACACTATATAATTGTTCATTGCACATGTTGTTAAAACTTCCACTGCCATTAGCTTTCATCATTTGCCACTGCCAGATGGCACTCTGACAGAGTGGGAAGCAATCACTGAATAATGCAAAGGGAGTAAAAAATGATGAATAATATATCAGAGAATTTTTCACCCTTGTTAGTTGCAATGGCCAGTTAAAGGCAGGTTCCGATATACACTAGTGGGACTTTTGCTTGTCTCGGGCGGAGTCCCTTGCTGTCACAAATACTGATATTTGTTCTGCTTTAATGATGATTTCTGGCTTATCTTCAACCTATGTCGCTTACCAGCTAAAGCAGCTTTTTGATAATAGATGACAAAAGAGAGCCACCTGTTCCTCTTTTAAGTTGAATGTTACCTTGATTAGGTATTCATGGAGAGGAACATTGATGATTGGTTGATTGCATTAATTGCATATTTAAATTCGTTTCATCAGAATTGCATACTTTAATTTGCATTTCTTTATATATAAATATATGCACATGTTTTAGTCATTATTGATAATAATATATTTTACGCATTTATAATAACGGTATTAGCTATTTAGATACTGTGATCTCCTCACTTTAAATGTATATTGGAAACTCAGTTGTTATCTAAGTTGGTGTGCTACAGAAATGTTTACATTGCTGCATAAGATTGTATCCATGACTACTTTTTTGCATTGCAAAGATTATGAATTGTTAGTCTACAGTAGTGTACTTTAAATAACTTACATTGTTTCCACAGTACTCCATAGATAAATTGTGCAAGATAATAAAGGTAGCAACGATCAATTAACATTTTCTGGACTCTGCTCCTGGGCAAGTTGTTGTTCTTTGGCCTAGTGATGGAGGACAAGACATATTAGCTTGAGTTTTATGTGGGTATTTTCATTTCCATGGTGAAGCGACAGGTACTGGCTTCAGAGTGATAGATGCCTCCAGGTGATCCAACCCTCACTCCTTTTTACATGCGTACAGTGCCCGTAAGACACAGTAAAGAGGGGTGTGGCTTTCATTGCCCAGTTTATGCCTACCGTTTTGAAACCCTTAGGCATCACTGTGGATCCCCCTGATGTGGATCTAGGACAATTCGCCACAGCCAACTCACCACGGGGCAACTTGCTGTGGTACAAATGCTACATAATAAGTGAAAAATGGTGGAATAGAATCATTAAAGAAAGGGTGCAAAAGGAGGGAGAAAATGAAATATGAATGGCAAAAATGAAAATATTTTAAAATTATTTTAAATAATTAAATAAAATTGTTGAATTGTCCCATGGCACGTTGATCCACGGCGAGTTAGCTGAGGTGAGTTGTCCCGTGGGAAATTGGCTGCGGTCAGCTGGCCACGGTAACTTGGCCATGGCGGATTGGCAGCGGTGAGTTGGCCATGGGGAGTTGGGCCATTCCGCCCTAATGTTGGGAAACTGCCAGCCAA